TTCTTTCTTTATTTTGGATTTCTCGGAGAGTCGTTACTGCGTCTCGGGAGCCCGGCGAAAAGATACTCTTGCGCCGCGAAACATCTATTTATATTATGTAGCGGAGAGCCACTATTTATGCTGTATACCGAGGAGATTACGTCGTGATGTCTTCCAGTGGCGAGTATTAACATCGATGCTCGTCGAGAAAATGGTGGAATAACGAGGCTGTGAATGACGAACTTGTCATTCACATGGTAATGCAGAACATTTCAGAAAAAAAAACTCCGCGAAGTTGCAAACTATGCAATTTTGTAACACCGATTTTAAAAGGAGATCAAGGACATAAATTTCGTTGGTTATAAAGATATAAGGGAGACGAGTAAATTGCATAATAATCGTGTTACTGTCAGTTCTCGTCGTTTAATATTAATCATCCTTCAAAATATCGTTATTACACACGTACGCGATAAAATGCTACCAAAGCAGCTTTAAGACGCGCGTCATGCAACTCGATGCATGCGCGAGTCTTAATGCACGAGTTTACCCCCTTTGTTAGGCCGCGGTGAGCACAGACCTTGTGACCTCACGGTAATCCCTCGGATCCCTTTTGAGGGATAATCTACTGGAAGGGCTAGCCTAGGTAGGTCCTCGATCGAGGCCACGGGGGAAGAGAATCCGGTGTGTGCGCGCGCGTATTAAATTTCAAACTCTCGCTCGAGGTCAGACACGTCGCCGCGGCAGGCTGGTCCCATGCCTTCCTTCGAAGGCGGAGGTGCAAGGTGCAAGCGCGGGTCGACCTACGACCTTGGCAGTCACGACGTCGAGCGAGCATCGCCGACGCGCGTAGCGTACGCGCCGCGCCGGCCGCATATATACATGTTTTCCCGCAACATCGCCGATATGGGACGTCTGATGATCGAAAGTCGATGGAATCGGATCTCCTGGCCGCGTTTGAGCGCAACTTCCGAAAGACTGCAGCCGCCTCAGATCTCGAGGTTTTGCAAAGCGCGATTCTTTTTAATGGCAAAGAATTTTTCATTTTTGGAAGGATAGTTGATTGATGAGGAAGATAGAATATTTTTTTGCCATCTTAAGCGTCGTCTACAATGAGACTTAAAATTTAAGAAAATTGACAAATCATAGTCGATTATTCATCTCACGCGAAAAGAATAATCGATTGTGATTAGTCAATTTTCTTAAATCTTAAGTCTTAAGTTTCATTTTAGACGTCGCTTTAAACCCACTTTAGACGGTCTATAATTCGACCTATAATTCAAATTTTAAGTATAGAACTTCATATATTTTATGTCTATGTTTTCTAATTCCTTAAATGTTGTAATTCTGTTACACGGCATATAAGATTATAAATCATTCTTAAATTTTGACACAAATCATAGATCACTCAAAGATTTTATTGAATGTGTTACACAAAATATCTTAGACAAAATTTATGTCTACAAGAAATCTTTTCTCCTCAGTTAAGAACAGTGATTCGCGGCTTTTGTAAAGAAAAAAGATCAACTGCAAATTTTTTTTGCCGACGAGTACGTCCATAAAAATGTCCCTCGATAAATCAGGGGAAGGTATCCTTTACAAAGACAGACTTACGTAAGGGATTGCGGAGTCAAAGGCTTACATAAAAGGGACTAGCGACATTTGCCGCTGAATGGCGGTCCTCTAATTCTCGGGTTACACACGTTTTCACAATCACCCGGGACAGATATAACCCTCGACAGACATAATTCGCACATAATCTGATATAACTCTCTGATTCCGCATTGATTCCGCAGCGAGTGCAGAAACGTAGATCAACGCGCGCACCTTAACCTCGATATCTTTCGGCGAAAGCAGCCTTATCTCCCCGGGGTTCACCGGCTGCACCGGCGAAAACAAGAGCCAGACGTCAGCGTTCGCGAAACGGATTTATTCCCGACGACGACACGACGGGGCCCGCGAGCATGGGGAGAAAAAGGAGGGAGTCCCAAGTGCGGCGCAACGACTAAGCATCGTTTTCACCGTCGCGAGTCGGATAACACCGAGTGTGGAAACCGTCGCTTTCGCCTTTTGCCGATAGCAAGCCGCGATTCTCTCTCCTGTTTCTCTTTTCTGCCGATCCCCGTTTTCTCCCTCTCCTCCCCGGGTCATTCCTTCTCTTTCCAACGTGTCCCTCCGGTCTCCGGAGGTCCCTGTTATCGGCTCCCTGTCGAAAGTCGGTCTCCAGAATCGCGATCGGCAGGTGGTTATTGTCGGTCCCGCTGGTGCGCGCAAGCAAGCGAGTGAGCGTTATATACGTTCAGACGAATCTGAATTTCTAATTGTCGCCAATGGCCGCGCGATTAATTAAGTGGAAGCCTGGGCGAACTGGGACGAAAGCGAGCGAGGCGGGTTGATTAAGGCGATGAAAAGTCGCGCTCGCGCACGACCCGCGCCGATTTTTCGCGCGCGCGCGAATTGCGCTACTCGGCACAGGCGGTTCGCCCGGCGTGGCGCGAGATAAGCCCGGGATATATCGTTATCGGCCATCATATCGCTCGCCGCGCCGCCGGATTAAATTGCGCTCGTTAGCGAGTTATAACGCCACCCACTCGGCTAACACAGTGCCGTGCGACGGAGTTCTAATCGGGATGTATAATTCGGTACTTTCTTAACGCGCTCCTATATCTTATTAATTAATATCAGCGATATCACCTCTCGGCAGGTGCTGTTTAAAAATTCACAATTCAAGATGTAGAATATTTCGATACTCTATTTTTGGGATTAAGGAAGTCTTGCAGTAAATTGATCTATGAGATTAACGCAGGATCGCAGTCGGTGAAAGTTTCGATTTACATCATGAAAATTAAGTCGCAACAATAATTGGGAGAGGGAAAAGCAATGCATTAAATATGAAAAATTTCGCCGATTGGTATTCATATTAAAACACGAAGATTGCAAAGTGAATTGTGTAATCAACGCAAGATTAAAATTGAAAAAAAAATTCGAGTCGGAATTGCTAGGCATAGAATAGCTGATGAAATTCGCCTGTTTTTCCTATCAAACTGTTAAGAAATGTATCTCACGTAGTACATAAATTTTTATCTACATGATCTTCACCTAGATATCTACTATATTCTAGAATCTAGAATATAGTAGGTTATAGAGAACAATAAGAATTTAATACGTATACAATAGAAAGCCTGCGATGTGCGTCTCGCCTAGCTTCTTAAACATAGCAGGATTTCAGGAAATCAGTTTGATCCTGACTCAATGCGCCGGGAGAGAGTTCCCGGCCTGAGGTTTCGATTTACCGGGTGAAATACGCAAATTGGAATTATCCGGGCTCGGGGCGAACCAATATAGTCCTCGAGCGACACGGTCCCCACGCGTCGCGACACCGTCGTGGCGATAAATCGACAACATCGGGGCATCGTTTTACCTGCGCGGCCGGATCGTTTGTCTTCGGGGAAGACGGCGAGAGGATCGTAGATGAGGGGAGAAGGTAGCAGCGGAAGCGTCCGGGGAGGAGAACGGGTGTAAAGGACGCGGAGGTAATATGAGAGGTGCGCGCAGTCCACGGGGAATTCTCTAGCGCTTAGACTTAGATGACGCGCGACTCGGAAATCTTAAACCTGACCAGGTTTTAAACCCTTGTACCTGCTTATCACCTTGTAATGTCGTTTCACGCCGTCGTATGCGAAAAGATCCTCCCGCATGGTCCTCTCGCTTATGATATAAGAACGGTTCAGAGGTCGGTGTAGATTTCTAGTTTCAATATCGAATAGATAATGGTGAACAAAATTGAGCAAGCGTCTCAAAAGTTTCGAAAACTATTTACAGATGTATCATTTTAGGGAAAGAAAGAAGAAAGAAGAGGAATACACTGTTTTTCCTTTTGTGAAATATATGAAATATACAATATTTCCAATTGTATATTGAATTATCAAAATTTACTTTTATTCTTTATTATATGTTTTACAACATTAATTATAAGAAATTTCATAATACTAAAAACAGAGAAGAATTTTGCAGAATTTTTTAAATATCATTAAATTTATTGATGTAACTCTCAAGTGATATTTCATTTCACTGTTGCAATTATTATTTTTTCAAAGATATAAACTATAAAAATTGTACAACCTACTCTCTTTTCTCTCTCTCTCTCTCCCATATTAAAGACACTTTTGTGGAATTTTTAAAATATTCCTAAAAAGTTCGATTCTCAAGTGAATTAGTGCATTTTATCTTTTATTAATACGATTATATATATTTAAAAAAAATATATATATATATAAAATATTATTGCTCTATATAGCTTGTAATATTGCCGTCATTAGAATTTCTCTCTTAGGTAAGATTCTTATCAAAAATTTAAGACTCATTTCTCGCGAGATAGTCGATCTCTTATTTGCGTTCAGCCGCCGCTGCATCGCTGGCCCTTTCTTTTTTGCATTTTTCCGTCGAGGCGCGAGCGATCGTGCCGTCATTGCAAGGGAATGCATACACCGGCGGCCCCGGAGAGAAGG